CTCTAAATATAAATAATATCAATAGCTCTAGTTCTCACTGAGATCCTGTAAATATAAATAATATCAATAGCTCTAAATATAAATAATATCAATAGCTCTAGTTCTCACTGAGATCCTGTAAATATAAATAATATCAATAGCTCTAAATATAAATAATATCAATAGCTCTAGTTCTCACTGAGATCCTGTAAATATAAATAATATCAATAGCTCTAGTTCTCACTGAGATCCTGTAAATATAAATAATATCAATAGCTCTAGTTCTCACTGAGATCCTGTAAATATAAATAATATCAATAGCTCTAGTTCTCACTGAGATCCTGTAAAGATAAATAATATCAATAGCTCTAGTCCTCACTGAGATCCTGTAAATATAAATAATATCAATAGCTCTAGTTCTCACTGAGATCCTGTAAATATAAATAATATCAATAGCTCTAGTTCTCACTGAGATCCTGTAAATATAAATAATATCAATAGCTCTAGTTCTCACTGAGATCCTGTAAATATAAATAATATCAATAGCTCTAAATATAAATAATATCAATAGCTCTAGTTCTCACTGAGATCCTGTAAATATAAATAATATCAATAGCTCTAGTTCTCACTGAGATCCTGTAAATATAAATAATATCAATAGCTCTAGTTCTCACTGAGATCCTGTAAATATAAATAATATCAATAGCTCTAGTTCTCACTGAGATCCTGTAAATATAAATAATATCAATAGCTCTAGTTCTCACTGAGATCCTGTAAATATAAATAATATCAATAGCTCTAGTTCTCACTGAGATCCTGTAAAGATAAATAATATCAATAGCTCTAGTTCTCACTGAGATCCTGTAAATATAAATAATATCAATAGCTCTAGTTCTCACTGAGATCCTGTAAAGATAAATAATATCAATAGATCTAGTTCTCATTCACATTTCCAATTGGGAGTATAAATACTGGAATTTACCTATATCTATGGAAATGTGTAACAGGATTTTTCTCAAAGACAAGCTGACAGAATGGAGGATCTTCTGATTGTGTGGTACCACCTGGATCTGGGAGGTCTGATTTCTGGGAGATGACGTGTGGTGGAGACCGAGGGAATGATGCCTGAAAACAAAAAGATATACAAAATCAAACTCAGACTAAAACAACTAGACATTAGTGTGGTTATAGATAGTGTTGAATCCCAGCACCAATCATTCCACAATATGATACATATTGCAATACAAGAGTCACAATATGATACATATTGCAATACAAGA